TCAAAATTGATGACGTCAAATTTTCAAACTCAATTTTTAGCAATTCTAGACCCCGTAGCGAATAAAGACCACCATTAGACTCCCCGTGACGAGCTGCATCGAATCAATACCCATTTTATGCAAAACTATCAACTTAAAAATTTGACCTTTCTTGACCTGACCTTGACCTGACCTTCACCAGAAAGTGACCTAAGCCGTACCTGATAGTCTTATAACCAACACCATTGAGTTGGAAATGAAAAATTGGCCATAAAACATGCATCGCACAACCTTAGTACCTAAAGTTAGGTTCATGTGACCTGACCTGTGACCCTTGGTGACCTGACCTGTGACCTGACCTGGTATTATCAGTGACCTCTTATAGCAACATATGTACTAGGCAACTGACGCCCTGTCGCTGATTCTCGACAAAATGCGTTTTCTTCGGTGTTATAGCGCATTCCCTAGATGACCGTGAACGGTGAAACATGTCATCTTTGACCTGACCTGTGACGTCATCGGTGACCCCGAGGTCAATGAAATTTGGTTTCCTTCGACAAATTTGACAGGGCTATCGAACGCCGTTTGAATTTTGCGGATCCGTCAAGTAGTTTCGGAGATACGAGGGGGGGGGGGGCAAAAAATAGCCCCCCCCCCCACCAGGTCGCGTTATAAACAGACCCCACCAGGGCGCGGGTTAAGGTTTTTTCTCTTTCTCGCATCACTATGTTGCGGTGATCCCCATATTCCTGAAGTTCCCCTCTTCCGTAAACAATGATTAAAATTAATTAACTCTAGTCCACCCTCTCAATCTTGTAAGTAACCCGGTTGCGCTTCTAAAGCATCTGGGGCATTCCACGATAGATCGACCAAAGCCGTACACCCTCATATTTTATTTTTTGCTTAAAATTGGTCTAATGGGTTGTTATGGGCGGGGAAGCCATCTGTGCCAAGGATTTTTTTCTTCGAACAACGGTTTCCGAGATATAGCTTCAGGCAATTCCTGGAGGTCACGCTGCAACCCTATGTTTGGCGGCTTATTACGGAGCGAGCGAAGCGAGCGTAGTCTTTCCTTAGATTAACGGAAATTTCTGAGTATGAGCGGCCGGCCGGCCGGCCGGCCGGCCGGCCGTGGTCACGCTTTTGCGAGGCTTATATCTCAGCAACCACTTGACCGATTTACACGCGGTAATTTTTGTAGGGTAGCTTCATTCCTTCTACCAAGTATTGGACTATCCCCGATGCATGTGGGTGACCCCTTATGCACGTGCCACGTGCAAAACGAAGAGGTGTCACTTTTGTAATTGTTGCAATATCTCGGTAACTACTTGGCCGATTGCGCTGAAAGTTGGCATGTAGGTAGGCACCCACTAGGCAATGCATATCCATGTGCCAGAGTTGGGGTGCTGCTGCACGTGCGCACGTGCAGGGGTCGATTCCAGATCTTGAGAACGGCTGGACCGATGACACTCAAATTTGGCACATGGTTGGGGACCGGTTAGTAGGGTGCCGTGCAAAAGTCAGTTGGGACCCATTTTGCACGTGCGCACGTGCAGGGTGCCGCTTCCAGATCTCGAGAACGGCTGGGCCGATTGTGCTCAAATTTGGCACATCGCTAGAGACCGGTTAGTAGGGTGCCGTGCACAAGTCAGCTGGAGGTACCCCGTCGAAATTTCGCACGTGCAAGGCCCACCCTCTCGCTCGCTCCGTTAGTCGCCCCAAAAGGCGTTATACTGGTAACTCAGAAACTATTGGTTTTCTATGGTAAAAACTTTATATGGTTCAACTCGCAATCAACTAGCAAACGTTTTGGCTATCTCGGATTTTCGATTTTTGAAAATTTTGATCACGTGACATCTTGATTTTTTTTTCGAAGAGTGACCTTGATATTTTCCCAACTGAAAGTCGCAATTTTGTCTGATGACGATTAAAGCCTTATCGATTGTCATTCATATGCGACAATAAAAAAGTGGCTTTCGGCCTGCATTGACCTGAGATCAGGTCATTTTTTTACCTGTCCTTTATAAGTCAATGGCAGAAATATCGGCTACCACCGAAACGCATCTGACCGGTTCAAATACTTTTGAATCATGTTGAGTTAGGCTATTATTGATGGCACTGGTGCAGCTTTGTATCAGTGACCCGCTGAAAGGTCATCCGAGGTCACGCGTTGAACACACAATAATTTTCCGTTTTTGGCTGTTATACCTTTTGATCTAATAAAGAAAGAGACGTAGAATAGGCACTAATCCGTTTGCTTTTGCCTAGCGCCAGTTCGTTTTGAATTTCGATACCGATGACCTGAGGTCAGGTCAATTTCTTGACCACCTCATTATAAGTCAATTGGGGAAAAATCAGCTCCCTTATTTTTACACTAAAACGCGTCGGAATGGCCTAATATACCATGAGTGACTCCATATGCGACTAACTTTGACTACCTTGAGACCTTTTTTGCTCTTGGTCAACTGTGACGTTGCTCTTGGGTCATGTGACGTCATTTAAGGTCACCAAATGTTTTTTGCTGATAACTCCTTACAGGTTTGAGATACAGCCGCGCGGATAGGCTCATTGTGTTCAGCTCGTCAAGGCCCATCGAATGATAGGTATATATGATGACCTTAAGGTCACGTGACCTAAGGTCAACTTTTGACCTTGACCTTTCGAGGTCAACATACACATGTTTCGATGCGGATCGACGAGAGGATCACGATGGTGCTATTAGTTTGTTCCTAGCTGGGATACTTCGAAAGTTATTCGAGAAAAACTTCGTATATATGTAGTGCCGCCATTTAGACTTTCTTTTTACCCCTGTGACGTCATCTTTGACCTGACCTGAAAATGACCTGAGTAAAAATTGTAGACCTTATCCATGTGTACCCTGTGCCGTTTACCGCTTGTCGCTATCTTGCTTTGTTCTCGAGATCTCGCTGTCGCTCCCGCTCGTAATAATGGGAAGGTCATTAAAATGACCTGACCTGAGGTCAACGCAGGCCGAAAGCCACTTTTTTATTATCGCATATGAATGACAATTGATAAGGCCTTAATCGTCATCAGACAAAATTCCGACTTTCAGTTGGGAAAATATCAAGGTCACTCTTCGAAAAAAAGGTCAAGATGTCACGTGATCAAAATTTTCAAAAATCGAAAATCCGAGATAGCCAAAACGTTTGTTGGTTGATTGCGAGTTGAACCATTTCAAGTTTTTACCATAGAAAACCAATAGTTTCTGAGTTATAAGCCGCCAAACATAGGGTTGCAGCGTGACCTCCAGGAACTGCCCGAGGCTATATCTCGGAAACCGTTGTTCGAAAAAAAAATCCTTGCCACAGCTGGGTTCCCCGCCCATCACAACCCATTAGACCAATTTTAAGCAAAAAATAAAATATGCGGGTGTAAATTATAAGTTTTTTTGGTCGATCTATCGTGGAATGCCCCATCTGTTTAAAAATACAACAGAATTTCATCAAGCCACCTTACTCAACGCCAATGCCATCTCTCAGTCACCATCATCGTCCGCGGATGGCACAATCATCCGCTATCCACTCCGGTTCCACCAGCCCGTCCCTAGTCAGCGCCACGCCCCCCCCCCCCCCCCCACAGCCCGCGGGTGACTCTGATGACTCTGTGGAGGCCCATCGACCGGGCCACGCGCCGGTAGTCAGTAGTCCGTAGTCACCTCAGCTGCCATCAGTCAGGGAGGCGACGACCATTGTTTTCACGGCGCTCATCGAATCACGCCGACGCCGCTAATATCACAGACGTCGGAACAGGGGGAGAGGGAGATAGAGAAGAGAGGAAGGAGGGAAAGAAGGGAAGAGAGTGAGAGATAGATAGATAGAGAGTGAGAAAGATGGATAGAGAGAAAGGGAGTGAGAGAGAGAGATAGTGAGATGGAGAGACAGAGAGAGAGAGAGAGAGAGAGAGAGAGAGAGAGAGAGAGAGAGAGAGAGAGAGAGAGAGAGAGAGAGAGAGAGAGAGAGAGAGAGAGAGAGAGAGAGAGAGAGAGAGGCAGATTATGCAAGGAGTTAGACGGAGCGGTGCAGACAGGAGGACAGTCGTACCAGGCGTGAATTGTCTGATGGCGCCGCGCCTGGCTGGCGGCGTTATCTCTGACCGTCAGTGCCACGCTGGAGGATGGCCTCTCTCTCTCTTTCTCTCTCTCTCTCTCTCTCTCTCTCTCTCTCTCTCTCTGTCTCTGTCTCTGTCTCTGTCTCTGTCTCTGTCTCTGTCTCTATCTCTGTCTCTGTCTCTGTCTCTGTCTCTGTCTCTGTCTCTGTCTCTATCTCTATCTCTCTCGCTCTCTCTGTCTCTCTCCCACTCTCTCTCTCCCTCTCTCTCTGTCTCTGTCTCTGTCTCTGTCTCTGTCTCTGTCTCTGTCTCTGTCTCTGTCTCTGTCTCTGTCTCTGTCTTTGTCTCTGTCTCTGTCTCTGTCTCGCTCTCTCTCTCTCCCTCCCTCTCTCTCTCTCTCTCTCTCTCTCTCTCTGCCCCCCCCCCCCTCTGCCTCCGCTGGTGTGGCCCGCTCGGAGCGTCTGTTGGAGGGGATCAGGTGGCGGGCGGACATTATTGATGATCCAGGCCGGAGGGCCGGTGGCTGAGGAGTCGCTGCAGAGAGGCCGCTCGTCCCGCCCCAGAGACACAGAGCCACACACCAGGATGCGGGTGACGTGAAGGTCGGGCCGGCGAGCAGTGATCTCCAGCTCGCCAGGCGCGTGACGGAAATGGAACAGACTCGAGTGGGTGGCAAAAGACGACAGGTTGCTGAAACAGGATCAAATGCGAGCTGGTGCGCAAAACCCGCTCTTGATATATAGTCACCCGACCTTCGACCGTGCTGCCTTATGTTTTTTTTTTTTAATCATTGTCACCTACGATGCGCTGTGTGATTAAATACAATTTAACAGTGATGGGGGTTATGCCCCCTCCCTTGGGACCCCATTACCGTCGCCGCACAGTGCGAGGCTTCCCGCCGTCAAATCCATCACCTGCGCCAGTCTCTGAACGTGTCTGGCCTTCTGTTTCAGTGCGCAGCCGCCCCCGATGTGTGGTGATATCGTCTCGCTGCCGAGGGAGTGCGTAATCTTCCTGCGATGATCACCAGGCTGACAGCAGCGCTTACCTCGTGTCTCCACTTATCCGCCGTCCTTGGACAGATCGACATCAGTGGAGGTAAGCGATTACCTAAAAAGACCATGATCTTTCACTAATACAAACTTATTATCAGGCATCGGTAAAATCCTTTTTGAAAGGATTGCATTCCCAATCCACATTCCTAGTGCCGAAGTGGATTGCATTCCTACCCGCAATCCCCTTTTTTCACTTGGATTGTGATCAAATCCGCAATCCTTTTTTGCAATCCTGTTGTATTATTTATTATGTGCACTAGTGGATCTGGGGGAGGGAGGGGGGCATAGGGCCGTGCCTCCATCCCCAAATCACCCATTTCTAGTACCTAGTCTTGTGAGTAATTCCTATCTAAGGCACAGGTATTTTATGGGAAATATTTTTTGCCTCAAACACCCCCACATTTAAACCCCTACCCAACCAGTGTTTTATATTTCTAAAACTCGCCCTCAAATACGTAATTTTTCCCTTCCTATGTAGTTCATCAGCGTATATTATTTTGAGCGTTTAAATTAACCCGCGCCCTGGTGGGGTCTGTTTATAACGCGACCTGGTGGGGGGGGGGCTATTTTTTGCCCCCCCCCCTCGTATCTCCGAAACTACTGGACGGATCCGCAAAATTCAAACGGCGTTCGAAAGGCCTGTCAAATTTGTCGAAGGAAACCAAATTTCATTGACCTCGGGTCACCGATGACGTCACAGGTCAGGTCAAAGATGAAATGTTTCACCGTTCACGGGTCTTCTAGGGAATGCGCTATAACACCGAGGAAAACGCATTTTGTCGAGAATCAGCGATAGGGCGTCAGTTGCCTAGTAGATATGTTGCTATTAGAGGTCACTGACAATACCAGGTCACGTCACAGGTCAGGTCACCAAGGGTCACAGGTCAGGTCACATGAGCCCAACTTTACTAAGGTTGTGTGATGCATGTTTTATGGCCAATTTTTCATTTCCAACTCAACGGTGTTGGTTATAAGACTATCAGGTACGGCTTAGGTCACTTTCTGGTGAAGTTCAGGTCAAGGTCAGGTCAAGGTGAGGCCAAAAAAGGTCAAATTTTAAAGTTGATAGTTTTGCATAAAATGGGTATTGATTCGATGCAGCTCGTCACGGGGAGTCTAATGGTGGTCTTTGTTTTGCGCTACGGGGTCTAGAATTGCTAAAAATTGAGTTTGAAAATTTGACGTCATCAATTTTGAACAGTTTTTTCGCTATAACTTCGCCAAAAAAAGAGGTATCAATCTCAAATTTGGTATGTGGATGGAAGGCGGTAAGGCCTATCACATGTATTCCGGTTTTTGCGAAATTCAGAAAACTTTTTGGATTTTTCGATCATTATATCCAAAAAAAATTATTTTTTTAATTTTTGGGGGTCAAAATCCAAAAATTTCAAAAATCCGAGATAGCAGTTTTGTAGCCCTGTCAATTCTACAGCTTTTATGTCATTACCATTTTTCTGTGTTTGCAAAGCTATAGGCCTGACAGCTCTTCCCGCGAAACCCTTTTTTTGGTCGAAAACGGCAGAACATGACGTCACTCTGACGTCATTTCCGGCCAACCTATCAAAGCCTTTGGAAAAATTTTTGGTCACCATATGTAAAATTGATGTCCGGGAGGGTACTGAAAGTTTGGTGACGATCGGCGCAGCGGTTCTGGAGATATATCGAAAAGTCTGGAGGGGGGCAAAAATAGCCCCCCCACCAGGTCGCGGGTTAAAAGCGTTTAAATTATTTCAAGTTTCGATGTAAAGCCCTTGATAGCAAAGTACATTAAGCCGATGAAGCCGATCTCATAATTTTCAATTGCAACAAACCATTTCAAAGCACCAATCAAGCACAATCCGGGTTGGATTGCAAAAATTGGAAGTATGATGCAATCCAATCCGCAATCAAATCCTGTTTTTTTTTAATGGATTTCAACTCCAGGTGCAATCCACCAAAAAGGAATGCAATCAGGATTTTGCAATCCTGCAATCACAATCCTACCGATGCCTGCTTATTATTTCAATTTTTTTCAATCAATAATACTTTATTAATTGAAATAAATTATTAAAATATTAAATTGAAATAATTATTAATATTTTAATAATTAATTTTTCAATTAATAATGTGATACTCTTTGTAATCCGCTTGCTTTTTGCTTACTTTAGTATATTGAGTACCTTGAGAAGGCATTTTTATTTCGTAGACGCCTACATGAACAACACTTTATAACTAATCATAATTTTATGCACATACCTGAATACACTCCGCTATTATGGTCACTAATTTAAGATTTATTGAGTAGCATGCATAAGTTAATTGGCTGGTTATTTAAAGCGGTGGCGTCACTACAGCTGTCGACTCGTTGGTTTAAAGTTTTATGGCCCCATATTTGTGCGCGGACGAAAGCTGGATGAGTACTGAATTAGGTGGCATGCGATAAAGCTTCTCTTAGTAGCCGTAGCTTCGTACTACTCCACTGCAGGTAATATTTCAGCAACAAAGTCGATTCAGATTTCGTTGCGATTAACAAATAGTACATTGTATGATCGCATATGTGTGGAATTACAGATCATTGAAAAGACTGAAAGAATCAATATTCTCTTTATAGCATGAACAGCATGAACAGTTGTTTAGTGTCCATGGTAAAACAAAAACATTCGACAAATGTTTAGGTATTGAATAATTTAAATTAGTGTCATGCGGGGCAGCTGATGTGGATAGCGCAGGTGTAGTTACCTACCACCTACCTTGGTTGTTTTCTCTTTTGGCGGAAACACGGTCTCAACTTCCCCTCCTCGCTCGCCCAGGTGTCTGTGTCTGCCGATTCCTTCTTGCGTAGCTGAAAGACGCCCCGAGCGGAGGGGAAGGAGACTTGGGAAGGAATGGGGTGACGGTGGGGCGGTGGGCGGGTCTGTTAGGATCCTAGTTTTACTCTCGCTGATGCTAGTTGGTGTGGAACCTGTTCGGCGTAGGAAGACTATGGTGGTGATGTTTGCCAGCGTTGCCTTTCTTTCACGGATTTTGTTTTCTTGCTGGATTTTGCTGCTCACATATCGATTCACACATACATCACTCGCACTCAAAACTGAACAGTGAACATTCAACTCGACTAATGTGCCCCGCGCCCTTGCCGACGGCTCGCCGGCGGGCACCCGACTCCGTCTCCCGGCCGGCCCGGGCGCGGCGCTGCGGCGCGGCCGTCCCGGTTACCTGACCCGGCCGGCTAAAGGTCGGTCGGACCGGCTCCGGCCGCCGCTGCCTGCCCGCGGCGGGCCCGGGGAGGGGTACTACACTACATTCTTCCATTATCGTGGTAACATGCTTGGTGAGGGCAAACATTGGCATTATTTCTTTCCCATTAACATTAAAGTATTGCCTGATTATCTCGTCTATAGTGCTGCCATCTGTCGAATGTTGTTCTCCCTAGTTGTTCTTCCTAGGGGTCGCCGCAGTCTGCCCCGCCGCAGTCTGCCCCGACACTAATGTTCCGTGATTATCGCCGGCTCTAATACGGTCCCATTAGTGTCATGCGGGGCAGCTGATGTGGATAGCGCAGGTGTAGTTACCTACCACCTACCTTGGTTGTTTTCTCTTTTGGCGGAAACACGGTCTCAACTTCCCCTCCTCGCTCGCCCAGGTGTCTGTGTCTGCCGATTCCTTCTTGCGTAGCTGAAAGACGCCAAAGGACCGCCAAAAGGATGTATCGCGGCAACGTTATGTCGGCTCCGTGCCCGGTCTGATCGGTTTGTGACGCCTGCAGGTGTAGGGTGAGAGAGGCAGTCGCCAGGGTCACGTGTTTTCTGAGGCAGGGGCGACGGCGGGAGTAGCGCGCCGTCCCCGGGGCAAGGTACTCGCGGCCCCGGAGAGCGCCGAAAAAAAAACAAGGTGACGGCCGCCCAGGCAGCCCGGCGGCCAGTGGCTGGCAGCGGTCCTCGCCGAAGGCGACGACGAAGCCGTAGCAGGAGGGGACGGGCCCTTTTCCAAGGCGCAGACAACACCCGTGTTGTCGCAGTGCATGAGCACGCTCAGCCCCGTCCAGCGGTGACCCCAGAGGAGGCACGCCGCCAGGATGGGGATCATTTCGAGCCAGGAGAGGCTGGTGGCCCACGCCTTGGTCGCGGCAGGCCAGGCTTGGGAGAACCAAGCGCCGTCGCAGCAGCCGCCAAAGCCCAGGGTGGAGGCGTCTGTGTACAGGTGGAGGTCGGCAGGTGGTGTCCAGGTGGGGTGGATGAGAGATGCGGTGCCGTTCCACTCCGGAAGCACGGACGGCCACCAGCTTTATGTCCCGTTTCGTGTCCTGGGTGATGGTGACCCAGTGGTGCGTTCGGCGGCCAGTGTGGGCCGTGTCCAGCAGTCGCCGGAAGAAGCTCCGGCCAGCCGGGATACATTTGGAGTCGTGGACTAGCATTCCGATGAGACTCAGAAGCTGTCTCAGACGGATTGTACGGATAGACCGGGTCTCTCTGAGGAGGGCGACCAGCTTGCGGAGCTTGGCCAGTGGTAGAGAGATGGTCATGTCGGCCGGGTCGAGCACGCAGCCCAGGAGTTCCATACGGGTGGAGGGAGGGCTGCACTTTGTTGGGGAGAGTTGGATATCGCAGTGCTCGCAGATGGACAGGAATGTGCGATAGGCGCGCTGACAGGCATCTGTGTCGGCTGGACCCATGAAAGAGAAATCATCCAGATAATGGTGCACGCGTTGACTGTTGGTGGCGGGCATGGAACCGTGTGGTCAGTGCGATGATATCGGCGAGGTCGGTGAAAAGGCTGCATGCGGACCGCAGCCCGAACGGCAGCCGCACGTCATAAGAGAACTGCTCGTTCCATCGGAAGCCGAGCAGCCACCGCTGAGTGGGGTGAACCGGGATGAGACGGAAGGCGTGCTGGAGGTCTGCCTTTGCGAGCAGTGTTCTGTTTGGGCCGAGGGAAAAGATGTGAAGAATGGCCTGGTCTATGGTTGCGTATTGGACAGTGAACTCGGACCGGTCAAAGTGGGAGTTGACACTGTGGCCGTCCGGCTGTGAAAGATCAAGTATGAGGCGGACAGACCCGTCCGGCTTC